ACCAAGAATTGCCGGAAACGACGATTCTGCCGGATAAAATGCAAAAAAATTTGGACTTTGCCAATGCGTAACTAATCAATCAATCATCAATCAGTTAATAATCCTTTAAAATAATTATTTCAAGAAAAATATCTTGATAACTACATACCACCAGGAAAAATTTTTGTTTCTATATCAGATTGAACTTCGTCCCATGATTCTGGATCTATTAAGAAAGAAAGAAATTTTTGTAATTGATAACAATAACAACAAAACAAAAATAATACTTTATATTAATAAATTACATTCGGGTGCTTCATCTGGAAGAAGCTTCGTGAGATAACCAGGTTCAACTTTCGATACAACTAAATAAAAGTAAAATAATAAACGGTTTCAAGAATTATATAAGAGTCAATCAAAGTCATTTATTTTTTGTTTAATAATAATAGCAATAATGGTGGTGAGGTGGGGTAGCGGTAGTAATAATAGTAATTTTTCAGTTCAAACCATCATAGTTATCAATTTCTTGGAAATAGTTGCAAATTCTATCAATTGCCTCATATCCTCTTTTACGAAATTCTTTAATATCCATAATTTTATATTAAATTATTATGTCTTTTAATGAGTATATCTTATTGTATTTTAGTATTCCAGGAAAACTTCAACAAGTAGGTTTTAAATACTTTTTTTTTTTAACGACGCAGTACTGTTACGTTGTTTATTAGAATGAAAAAATTTATATATTATTATTTAATTAGAATGAAAAAATTTATATATTAATTAATTAATTAATTAATTAATTAACAAACACGGAAAAAAGATTAGAGGTTGGCACCGCGCAAAATTCTTTTAACCAGTTAATTAACCTAAAATTAACTGGTTAATTTAGTCACGTGGAATTTTTTAACTGGTAAATTCAATCACAAAATAACCACGCGCCTGTTGAATTTTACAATGCGGATCAAAAGTTAAAATTTTGAAGTATTATGTGATCCACACATTGGATTTTAAAAAACACGCCACCATTCAATTTAGCTTTAAAAGGAGAGTCTATCAATCTAAAAAAAAAATTTGTCTCTTTTCATAGATTTTTTAAATGCTCAATAATTTTCGTTAAACTTTTTTGTTGTAAAGAACTTTTATTTATTAATAAAAAAAAGGAAGTAAATAAATCAAATAAATCAATGTATGTTGTAGAAAATATTCTATGAAAAAAAGTTGTTACACGAAATTTACTTAGTCTCAATTTCTTAAATGTATAACAAAATTTTGGAATTTTCAAAATGCTAATTTAAGAAAAAACCAGCCAATAAGTTTTGAAGCTTGAGTCATGAACAATAAAACTTAACGGTTAAATTTTTTAAAATGATATAATTTTTTTTTTGTTTAGTATTTTGAAGTTGAATGATTATAGATGATCTGCACCATATATTGTTGTGCGTGAATTTGATCTACGTCAATTTGAAATTCACGCGCGTGAAATTCAATCAGAATTTTGTATTCAAACATCCACCCCAAAATTCATTGGTAAATTTCAAATTGACACAAATTTGATTTTCACGCACAACATCATTATTATGCACTTAATAGATGCTAAATAATTCATTGTTCCAGCCAAAAAAACTCCGCTATTAGTATTATTTTATCCGTGCTACGCCTACTTTCGTAATACGTTTTATTTTTATTTTCATTTTAATTTTTTAATTAATTATTAATTAGTTAAAACATTTTAAAATATATAAAAGAAAAGTTTGCCGTGTTATGGTACCTTAATAATTGCCGTAATTTCTGTAATATTTCTCCTTTTTTTTTATGTTTTCCTAATACTAGCGACTTTACCCAATTTTGAAATATTTGGTTGCACGGGAAATAATTCATTGCAAAGAAGATTCATTTCATTCATTCAGTTCAGTTCAGTTACGGTACGAATCACCACGAAACGAAACGAATCTATACGTCCCGTTCTCAACTTTAATAAACTGAATTTTTGGGAAAGGATGAGATCAAAATCAAAAGGTGAAACTTTGTGATGAGTCGTTTTTTTTTACTTTGCTGCGCTGGCTTGAAATGATTTGCAAATTGATTTGAAATTTGTTAATTAATAAAATTGAAATTTGAACAGAAATATTTTCGTTTTCCAAAAAAATGATAAATGGTTGTGGTTATTTTACGTCCCCATACTGTGTGAATCCCAATTTTTATCTGCTTGTCATGATTTGTGAAACTGAACAACTTATCTGTTTTGGTTCAAAACGCCAGGGTTGAGCGAAACAGATATTTGACCAAAAGGAAATCGTGTTTCGCTTTATATGTTTTTTGCGTGGTGTCGACCGCTGTCTACCGTTAGGTCTTCGTCTTGCTCCGACGTTTCGGACCGTTCAAAATGACCAAAAACTGATGGTCTTGTCTTGGAACCTTTACCTCGGATCGTCAAAGTGTCACAAACGTGTTAGTGATATTTTCTGGTCACGAGACCGGGGTTCAAAAACGTTTTATTTCGTTTTGTCAATTTAAAAAAAATGATAAACAAAACAATATGTGCAAATTTGTTTTGATTGTTTGTGTTGAATTAAAATTTTTTTTTGGATTTTGACCATTTAAGAGAGATGGTATAAGAAAAAACTTTGATTTTGACCATTTGAAGGATAGTGGATGATCTGATTTCCTTTTGGAGAAAACAATAAAATTGTTGATTAATGAAAAAATTTCCTTTCAAGAAAAACAAATAAAATACATCGATTGATTAAGAAAAAAAAAAAGCTTGGTTGATTTTTTTTAAAACAATCGAAATTTGTAAATGACTTTTGATGTTTGCATGAAGCTTATTCTTCTATAGCGATAGACGAAAAAAAAACACGAGGAAATGATCAGGATAAAAGATTTTAATAATCGAAATTCGCAAATGGCTTTTGATTCACACGAGGGTTCTTCTTTGCGAAGGATCTTTTTTTCTTTTAATTAAGA